TGACTACCCGATGAGCTGGCCAGGTGTTGGCTTTCCTTCGCAAAAGAAGCCCCTAGAGGTCCAGATATCACGAGAAAAAATCTACTATTCGTGCTAAAATTCGAATAAGTTTGTCTCGGCATCCTGGATACTCATCCCATTTGAAAAGACCGATAAAAAAAAAAAACCGATAATTTTCTGCGGAATTCGAACCCACGACTCCTCAAGTATCTCATTCAGTATGCCATTGAAGCTTTTGAATTAACGGAATATATAATTACATTACGAATATAAATTAAAAATGTAATTAAAATAGCTGAGGCTGTTGGATTAAGTGGAGAAAAAGCTAAAGATGTTAAAATATTGATGATATATATAAGTAATGAAGTGAAAGCGGCATATAATACATATTTTAAAAATGCCATCATAAAATTTAAAAAAGAGTTCATAAAAAAAGATGCAGTCAACAAAGAGTCAACAAAAAAAGAGCCAGTTGAGAAACATACTATAACAAAAAATATTAATTAGTCAAGAAATGGCATAAAAAGAATCTGTTAAAAAACCAAACTTTAAGTCTGAAATGATTAGAAAACAGTTGTATAGTATACTTAGCATTTTTATATTTATTTTGAATTTAAAATGTAACTGAATGTAAAATTATGAATTTAAATTTTGAATTTAAAATGTAACTGATTATAAAATTGCGTTTATATTTATTCTGATATGAATATTGTGCCTTATTATTCAAAAATAACAATCAATAAATTGTTATTCATAAACAATATGTCGTTATTTTATAATATTAATATTACTACCATCGAGGACTTAGCAGACGATGCTCCGCTGATGTATACTGTCTCAATCGTGCCGTACGTCGATAGCAATGGTTACGTAAAATCAATGTGTCTTTCTTAATATCGAACTAATCGCATTGAAATTTGGCGAAAAACTTTTTGAGACCCAAAAGAACAACTTTCTTGCTAAAAGTTTTCCCTACGTTAAAATTTCTCGCATACTTTTTCTCGGTGAAGCTCGAAAAACCTCACCTTCCGATAGGCGCAGATTTTCATTTAGTATTATTTATGCACTTGAACATATTGTTGTTTTAATCATGCTGTCGGCATCGCTAATACTTGATTCATGTATGTGTCAAATTTCGAATCGATTTGTACTTTTTTCGTGGTGATTCGGCAATTTAAGTTTTAAAAATCATTTATTTCGATGATTCGTGTTTTATGCTAGAACTTTTCAGGGCCTCCGAGCGTAGATCGAGTTATTGAATTTGGCTTCTTAGTTAATGTAATGTATCAAACACGTCTAAACTAGGAAAGAGCCAACATTAATTGCGTTATGAGCTTTGCTAACCGCTGTTATAATACATACATACGCTAATAAATTAACGCTATTTTAAACGACTAAGAACAATCAAGTTTTATTGGTCCTTGGTAATTCTTGAACAATTGAAATTAAAAGATTCTCGCGTTCCGCAAGTACGTTGGCTTGACTGTAATATTATTTCTAAGAAGATTAGTCGAATACAGATTACACTAAGAATTTCTTAACATTTTTTGAAAAGTCGAGAAAATTTGAGCGTTGCAGAAAACAATGTGCAGCTTGAAAAACTCAAATGTTGACTCTGTTTGATTTTTCGGCTAGAAAGCTAGCATGCTGACCACATAGGTATCAAGCTCTTATAGTTTTTTTTTTTTTTTTTTTTTTTTTTCTAAAAAGAGCACAATAATCCTATTAAACATTTGAATGTCAGTTCGTATTCGATTGATATAGATGGTAATCTGTGTTGAGCATGAGTAAATGCGGTGAAATAATATCTTATGTATGTGTGATGTCATGTGGACGAGTGATATTGAATAAGACACACACTAGAAAGATGTCTTCACATATTCTCCTATTGTTCCTTCTCTAACCTCTCCTATTCGGGCCTTAGGCTCTTCCACAAACACTCTCATTCGATTTGTTAACTCAAAATCAACTGCTCTTGCATAGGTGAACCACGCCTCTCCTCTTGGCTCTTTTGGCTCATCTTCTTCGAATTCTCCTAATGTGGGATCTGGTACCGTGCTGGTTGGTCTTTTAAATGCCTTGACTAGCGTAACACTGTTTGATAAAGCATATGCAATGATGCAAGCCATTCTTTTATTGAAGACAATGTTACCTGAGTCTATCATCCTAGCATGAAGAGATCTGGGAGAGTGGAGCAGAGAACCCACTGCATGTATAATGAAATATACATTGGGGTTTTTGCTTGTGGAGTAATAAGATTTCCGGACAAGACCTAAATCGGCTTGATAGGGAAAATAAGAAAACTCTGCCATCATCTCCCCGGTCTCTTTCATCATATCAATGCATTCACGTGCCATCCGTTTAGACCAGACCCAATCAAGAAAATCAGCTTCGTTATCTAAGCTGATTGTGTGAGCAAAGTATCCGATAAACAAAAGACCTGCACAGTCTTTGTGTCGGCTGCCCAATGTGCAGACTCGTACATATGCGAGTGGATGGCCCCGAAACTTATACATGAACATATCAATCGCTGCGACCATCTTCATGTACCCCGGATCGGTAGCCCATGGCTCGTATGTATCTTTTGATGGGAAGACGGGTAACCGATTGATCTGCAGTTTGATCTGCTCATGTATCTTGTCCCGAACTCTTTCTGCATACTGCTGTATACTGATCCTAGACAACCTAGCTGAACAAAGACAATATAAAGTGATCCAATAGAGGTCATCAGCTTGATGGGATTTTGCTTCGACACCAGGTAGGACTCCTTGGACAGTCTCAATCGATATGATCGACCAGGGCGAGATTGTATCTCCTACCTGTCCGATTACTCGGTCGTAAGACTTCCATTCCTCCTCCAACCTGCTAGTGATTGTATTGAAGTAGATATGCTAAAATCGTTTGATGAGATTTACATTAATGGGACCACCTTGGCTGATTCCCCGTTTGACAGCACCTGGAACATCATTATCAGTTATTGCAGTACGGATATATGAGGCTGTTGGTTTCTGCTCAGTATGCTTTGTAAACCACTCAGACGGGTACTGACACGGTGGTGAGGAAGAAGGCACCTCTAACTTGTAAGGCACCTTGGATTTCTGATACACGAAGGTGAAATGGTCTGACATCCTGATAAGACAACCAAGTTCTCTAGTGATCTGTACAGTATGCTAATGTATGATTGACTTGAATATATTTTTGCAAACTTAACTTTATGTGAGCACTTGTAAAAATTAAGAACACTACCGTCGTTTAGCGTTATTGTTGAATTAGTTAGCTTTTGTCTGACTCAAGTTTGGCTACGGTGCGCGGTTTGTATTTATTTATTGAATATTTATTAATTGAATTGAAATTTACCTTATCAAAATGGATAACCTTTATAAGGTACAAGTTAAACTGTTTAACAAAATTAAAGGTTCCTTTACAAACTTTAAGAAACTTGGCCAGGTAAAAATGACCAGGGGTCAGGCTGACTCTAGGCTTCAACAACTCAGAGATACTTTTGAACAGTTTAAATCTACTCATGACGATATTATGAATATAAAACCTTTACCCACAACTCATGATTATTTTAAAAATGAGTGCTATGAAGTGGTGGAGGATATTTTTTATTCAGTTCAGGGTGATTTTAACGATTTTTTCAATTCGCTTAATGATCATTCGAATCCAACAGGCACCTTACCTCCTGCCAATGCCAATATTAGTTTGTTTCAGAGTTTCTCTTCTTTACCTTCAATAGACTTGCCATCCTTTGATGGTGATTTTGCTAGTTGGGAGAATTTTCGCGATGTTTATAGGGCTATAGTCCATAGGAAGCAAAAATTACCAGCTATTATTAAATATCAACATCTTAGGGCGCATCTAAAGGGTGAAGCTTCAGACCTCATAAAAATATACCCTTGTCTGAAGAGAGTTATATACAGGCCTGGGATACCATAACCCGGTATTATGATAATAAACGTCGTCTCATTAATACGTATACAACTACTATTCTCAGTTGTCAAGCTATGAGAGGCAGCTCTTGCTCTGAAATAAAGCGCATATCTAAAGAGATGATAAGTTCTGTTGATTCCTTGATATCTTTAGAGAGAGCAGTAGAAGATGCTGACATATTATCGCTCTTGTAGTTAGTAGATTTGATTTTCAAACGAACAAGGATTCGAAAAAAATGTTAGGTAGTAGCAGTGATCCTCCTACTTTAGGTCAACTACGAGACTTCATTTCGGCACAAATCATTACAATGGAATCGTTTCCTTGTAAACCTTTAAATAAGATTGTAAATATTCGCGCAACTACTCCTTTTAAAAATATGGGATCTTCTAGTGGTAAGCCTATATCTGGTGTTACTGCACATCAGACAGTTGTTTCAGATTCCATTGTTTGCCAATTTTGTAATCAAAAACATCATCTTGTCTCCTGTGATTCATTTAAATCACAGGAGTGGAGCGATAAATGGAAATTTCTGAAGTCCCATCGTCTCTGTGTTAATTGTTTTGGTCCTCACCTTAATCGGGAGTGCTCTGTTAATAGTAAGTGTTCACACTGCAACCAAAAGCATCACACCATTATGCACAGAGGGGATAAGTCCAGCTCTACATCTGTCTCTGCTAAAAATAAGCAAACAAAATGTGTAAATAACTTGACGAACTCTTTTACTGT